ACACCTTTCTCTAGCGCACTGCTGGTGCGGCGCGCCAGCCCCAACCCAGATTCTTCCGACAAATTTTCTTACTCGTTTTCTCATACCAATTCGCCTAGAATCGAATGATTTCTTCCCCAATCACTTAGACTCGATTACTCAACATTAATATATGATAATCTACTCAAATCTATCCTCAAAACATCAACTTTCAACTCAAGAAACTCATCTGAACTCCCACAATCAAGATTACGATAGGAATTTCAAGAAAACTCATCAAGAACTCTAAATCTTCAACTTTAAGAATGAAATCTCACTGAAATAACATGATTGATGTGTGGGTGAACAAACTCAACACTATGAGAACTGACATACCTCTTAGGGATCAAACCCTTGGCGAAACAACCTTCGAATTGCACGAAATATTGAAGAACACCTTGACTTTTTTCCTTTCTCCTCTTCTTGAACTTTTCTCAAAACCCTAGCGTAAATTTGGATTCGCAAAACTGAACCAAATCAGTTTAGACCCCTAAGTATTACCAAATTTAGCCTAAATCTGATCGGGTGAGAAAAAGACCAAAATACCCCTCTTAAATCCGGGTAACTTTCCTTAACTGACAGGCAAATTTCATATGGTCATATTTCCCTCATACGACCTCAAAAATTAGCAAACTTGGTGGAATTGGAAAGATAATTCAAAGACCTTTCATTTGATATCTTATGGGCCACCTAACTCATCTTGTACTGAAAGTTATGGTCGTCTGAAGTTAACCCAAAACTCATACCGAGGTGTTACACTATAGCTATAGTTTTCTTGATTACGAATAATAGCAAAATGTTAGGGGAGGAAGGAGAAAAGAGGTGAATGAGATCTCGGAAAGAGGGGAGAGTATTTTTTCGCGAATTTTGGAGAGAGAAAAATACAAATACAAACTTATTTGTATCAAAATGAATACATATTAAGAGGAGAGAGGATAGGATTGTATTTTGTATTTATATTGTATTTTGTATTTATTTTGTATTAATTGTATTCGAAATACAATAAATTGTCTTTTGTATTTATTTTGAATTGTATTCTTTATATATTTTGTATCAATTGTATTCTAAATACAACAAATACAATTGTATTCATCCTCTCTTTTATTGGATACAAATACATTTAACAGAGAGGATGAATGCATATTGTATTCGTACGAATACAAATACAATTGATACAAAAATCTGAAATACAGTTTTTCGAATACAATTGAAATAAAATAACAAAACTCTCACTTATATTTGATTGAATACAATTGATACATAATACATTTGAATGAATTTCTTCTTATTGACATGAGGGAGAGATAGAGAGGGGGGGGGGGGGGGGGAGATGGCAAGGGAGAGAGAGGGGAGGGGGGGAAAAAATATATATATACTATAATTTCTTTTTTCTTATAACAACCAGGGGCGGACCTAGGTAGAGCCCAGGGGGTTCACCCGAACCCCCTCGTCAAAAAATTACACTGTATATATAACGTCAAATTCTGATTTTATGTGTATACATATTAAAATGAACCCCCTGAGAACAAAGGACAAACTTGGCTCAATGGATAAGTGGTTCATGTACTGCCCCTATGTCATGGGTTCAAATCCCATTGGCAACATTTTTTCCCTTTTTTAATATTAGCTTTGGAAAATGGAACTTTGGCTTAGACCTTCTTCTTCTTTTTCATTATTTTTTCCTTTTATTCCATTTCTTCTTTTTAATTTATTTATGTTTAAATTTATTAGACACATTCTTTTTATTTTTTATATTTTATTCTTTTTATATCTATTATTCATTTCCTATTTTAGTGAGATGAAAATTAAACTTATTTGATTTATTCGTTATTTATTTATTTTTTTACAAATTATGACTAACCTAGTAAATTGAACTATATGAACTAAAAAAATTGACGATGATATTTATTTATATTAATAATATGCATTATAATATTAGTAACTCTATTCTTACACACTTTTAGAGAATCTTGACGGTTTTCATAGTAATATTTGATTGAATGGATATTAATTTAAAAAATTTTAAAAGTGAAATATAAAGTAAAACATGACAAAATAAAAGTATAAAAAGCACAAGAAATTTTAAGAATGCTCGATGGAGCATGATAAAAGTAAAAAGAAATGTTTAATACGGTATGATAAAGTGAGTTAAATTTAGCATGATAAGGTAAATATTTTTTCTTCCCCGTCTCGCTCCCTTTTTCATCATTTAATTTTCATGTGTTTTAGGAATTAACTTATGTAATACAGTCGATCCACTAAAATTCTTATCAATGCATCTGTGTTCTCGATATCTTTTGATTAGCTTAGTCTTTACTTTTTATGAACCAATGAAATATCTATGGTTCTTGTACAAAGAGCATGCCGAGGGGCTACTACGCTCACCGCGCACTTGCATTACCACCTGAACTTCTTCTTTATACTTCGAACCCCCTGAGCAAAAATCCTGGGTCCGCCACTGGTGTTAGCTTACGACAAATTTTTCAAAGGTGGTGAAAACACCTTGCAAATGTACATCTTAAGCCCTTATATCAATAAACATTGTCATGTGTAGTTGTCTAGGAGCTATGGAAGAGGAGAAAGAAAATAATGCATGGTGGTAATATGTCTTTTTCATATGAATTCCAATTGTTTAAGATTCTATTTTTATTTTGATCATACAACTTTGAAACCCTAGTTCACCATTTTTTTTGGCATTAATCTAGACCATCTAATTTGAGATAAATCATATTGATTATGTCATCTTAACCAGTTTTTTCATTAATTGATTCTATAACTCAAAAGTTTCTTATGTTTTAATTCCGAATGAAATATTCCTAGTATTTCAAAATAGTCCTTTATTTTGGTCTTAAGGAAACAAGACGTTGTGTTATATAAGAACAAATCCAAATATAGACAAATTAATAACTTGGGGTTATGATAATTCATAAAATACATAGGGAGAGAGGGAAAGGGCACACAAAGAGAGAGAGGGAGGAGAGGCAATGAAGATGGGTTTGCTATAAAAATAACATATTGTTCTTTTTTACAATATTTTTAGACTATAGCTATTTTTCATAAATAAATTACTAATTTGAACTAGTTCCATAATTTTTCTTTTTTTTCATAAAGTTTGTATATCTTCAATTAAATAATCTTAATTACTTTACATAATCATATATTGATAATTAAATTTGTAGCCACTATAATAAGTCAATACTTAAAAAAATTAATGCTAGCAAATATTAATTAAATAAGTATTGACATATCAATATTCAAAATACTTTTATTTTAAAATCTTCTAAATTGTAAGTTGATATATATATATATATATATACAATTGAAGTCTATTTTCCTAATATTTTATATTCAAAGTTGTTAAAAAAAAATCAATTGATTTCTTTTAATAATATTATTTTTTAATTTCTAATATGCAATTGTTTTAATGTCTCTTGAAAAGTATTTAATAATTCGGCGTGTTTCTTGGTTGTTGAAAATTGTTTCTGTCCTCGTCTCTTTTGCCTTGTTTTTAATTGGATATTCCTCAAGCCATCGACATCGTATGCATTGATATAGATTTTGTGAAGAAATAGTCATATTAGATTTTGATTTGAATTTATATATTTATGTGCAATGGTTTTATCTTCTTTTTTTTAATTATAAAATTATATTCTTGTATTTAAAATAATAAATATTTATATTTATGAAAAAATGTTCTATTATTTCCTGTAGGAAAAAGTGTATCGTGCATATTAATTGTAGGGTCATTTTGACCACAATTTACTATATCACTAAACAACGTGGGAACCCTTCCTCATATGTGACGTCATGTTCTATTATTTCCTATAGGAAAAAGTGTGTTGTGCTTATTATTTTTCGTCATTATACATAAATATGTCTTTTTACTTTGGTTTTGTTGGTATCTATATAGAGGCGGAGTCAAAATTAGAAGTTTAGGATTTTTATATGTTAGGACAGTATAATAACTTCAAATATAATCGATAAGTTAACGAACGACAATATATAAGAAATGAGAATCTTTTTTATTTTAAGACGAGTGGATTTTTATTTATTTGTTTCCAATTGTTAATCTTATATTTTTAATTAATTTTTATTTTTATTTGTGAAATTTGCATAAATAGCATAAGAGAAAAATATTGCAAAGCATGCTTCATTTTATTTTATTTTTTTTTAAAAAAAAAAGAGAGAAACTTTTGATAATAGTGGGGTTCGAGAACCCACAACTCTAGTGTGGGAAAGCATTTTCATGACCTCTTCCTTACTACTGAGTCGTCAGTCAGTTTTGTTAGGGGATTCTCATACAAATACATGATCTATGGAGAATCTACTGGGTTCATCCGAACCTCCAAACCCCCACTTAGTTCCTCTCATGCATCTACGCCCTCCAACTTTGAATGTGCACGTAAGACGTCAAGTAGAACGCGTATTTAACTGTGTATATATGCTCAACTCTATTCATATATGCTCAACTTTATTCAAGTTTAAGTACCAATTTGTGCATATCTAAAATTGAAGAGCATATATTTATCCCTTTTGAGATATTGGGCGATAGTATCCTTTCACATTTATTTATCCATTTTTTTTTAGACATTTCAAATTATTATTTTCCCTAGCTACACCGCTATACACTATACCAAAAGAGGCTTTTAGTGGCATTTAGTTTTTCATTTAGCGGCAATATTTATTGCCACAAAAGCTTTTAGCGGCATTTAATCTATTGTCATTGCATTTTGTGTCGCTAAAGCCTAAAAACGGCATTAGGGTGCCGGTAAAGACCTATAATATTGCCGCTAAAAGTAAATACTTCTAGCGGCATTTATTTAGGGGCAATTACTATTGCCAGTAATGTCGCCTTAAAATTGTGATATCAAACATATTTTACACCTTTGTGTTATTGTCGGCAAAGATGCATTAGTCGACATATTTAACCACACTTACATAACATTAAAAATAAAAATCATAAGAGAAAAATATTCTTTTTTGGTAACCAATTTTTTTATTAATCATCCAAGAGAATATTACAAAACTATAGTCCAGTAGAGTTGGCTAGCTTGTGACTAGAAACTCAAAGAAAACATAACTAACAGATTACTAAGGAAACAAATTAAAAGATGCATTTTTGCACTAATCCTCTAACACCTGAACAGGCTCTCACGTTGTAGATATATACCACTTCTTTGACCAAGTATCTCCACCTTTTGGGTTGCTTTTCAAGAATAATTTGATCTCTCTCAAAAATTCAATAAGAACAGTTTGAAAATCCAACTTCATTGATTTTTGATCTTCCCTGAAATGTGTTGATTATCCATTGGATGAATAGCTCCCAATTCGTTGCCATGAGAAATCCAACTTCATCGATCACTGTGATTCATAACAAGCATATCACCACAAGAATCAGTGCAATTACTCCACCAACTATGTATAAGTATTAGATTTCAACATGTTAGCACAAATCAAACATTCAGGATCTAATTCGAGACAGTTTGAGGTAAAAGAGATCAAATAATAAAAATAGCAGATCAAGATTTTTTAGCCAAACCATTGAAAGTATGACAAAGGTAAAAATGATCACATACATTTGAAAAGATTCCAGATAAATTTCAAAGAAACTCCATATGACTACTTGAGAATAGAGCATCAAGGTTGTCACTCATAATAATCAAATACTCTATGCAAGAGGACTGCAAAGAAGAAAAGATCATTCCAAGTTATATATAACATACATCAGTACTAAAGTGAAGTAAATAGTGAGAATTAGACACTTACATATAGTTCCGCTTACAATACTATCTGTATTATTGAAAAATTCAATGTTAGTAGTTGAATGAAATGCCTGTTCTACAAATTCACTGTCAATTTTTTTTAACTTTTGGGGACTTAAAATCTTTGAGTTATAAGTTAAATAAACACAACACAATCAGGTTAATTAGAGAGCTTATGCAAATGAGCTATGAATAGAAATCACGATTTACAACTTACTAAAAGGAGTTGTCAAGTAAATGAAGAGGACAAAACATGAAGCTCATTCTGCTCATGAAATAAGTCGGCAGGAGCTAGAAAAAAATAACACAATGCATGCTAAGTGAACTTGACATAGTAAAACAGTCGACGAGCAAGTTTACAAGATTAGAAATACCTTAAAGGGAATGATGAGTTCACAAAAAGACTTTTCGGTCTTGAGCAACTGCATCCTAATAAGTCAATAATCTTATCAAATTTTTGTGCTCCACCTACAAACTGTTTACCTCGTTATTAAAATCTGTAGCTCTATGTTTGTTACTGAAGAACAACCTTTTGATGATGATCTCTCTCCCATCTGCCAAAACACCCTGCACAAATCATGTCTCAGACTCCATTTAATTGTTAACACTTCTAATACTGCATTGTTGTTATGGACAATAGACAAGTTCAAACATATGAATTTCACTATATTCAGCCATTACCTACCTTATAAACTGTATCAAGTCTACCATGTTTGAGCTTCTTGGCCTCATCAAATGACCCTGTGGCCTTATAAATTGTCTCTTAGATAATTTCCTTCAAAACATATTATCTCGTAAGTTCGTAAAAAGCAGAGTCCTAATGTGAATTAGGCAAAAATAAAAACAGAGGTAAATGGCAAAAATAAAAACAGAGGCAAAAGTAAAAACAAGTACTTAACAAGCTTAAAATGTGTATGATTCATGTCATGGCCATGGCCATAGTTACAGATTTCACCAACGAATATGTGAAAATATGGACTAAATATGCAAGAAATAGCATATAATTAACTGGTCGTAGAAAACTTTGACCTATGTAGTCAAGCCTAACTGGAAATATATTTCAAGAACAAAAGTATACTTACTTAAGATAAATCAAAACATCTACAATCAAGTAGTTGACTTCTTGCATAATTCAAAGAATGGTAAATAACTTCTAACAATATAATTGGTGAGAAATGAAAGAAGCACAAAAGATGAACAACAATAACTTAAATTAAACACATTTTCAACAGTTAGAGCACCCTAAAAAATAAAATTAACTTCTTAATAGAAAGATTACCAAATGACAACTACATTGCAAAAATTATAACATCTTAATAGAAAGAATTACCAAATGCAAAGCCAACTATATTGCAAGTACATAATCTAGGTGAGGCTTTGACCTTTTGCAGCAGTATGCACATTCTTTAGGCTTAGACCAAATGTTCATTGATCAATCAGCCATTCCTTAATCCTAAACTAAATGACATTCACTATATGAATCCACTACATCAAGCCAAAATAAAAAGGAAAGAACATACATCTACTTGGCATATCTACTTGAAAAAACGAAAGAAATATAGCATCGGTCAGCACACTCACCTCAAAAAAACACCTAACTGTTTCAGAAATACATTCTCCGTCTGCAATACAAAACAAATCCATTGAATTTTCTTTACAACAACTCATAATGTTACAAATACTCAAAATTGCACTTTTTAATTGATGGAAAAAAAGAATTCTTCACAGAAAACTAAATCAATGGGAAATAAATAACGCAAGTATCATTACACATCTCCATACACATGTGATTAACCAAATCGGTCGATGAAAAAGGCAAAAAAGAGAGTGCATGAACCTACATCAATTCAATAAGGGGAGAGGAAAGAGAAGAGAAATGGATTTGCAAAATCAAAAAGAGAATACTTAGTGAGAGAGGAGGAACAGAGACAAGGAGAGTACATAGATTACCTGGTAAGGACGAGAGAGAGATGAGTTTGCGCCATGGACGATGAGGAAGAGAGGTTTTCCCTAATCTGTGTGGGTGAATTCCGCGGTAGAGGGATTTTACAAGGAAATAAACTTTAGGTATATTAAGGGCCTGTTTGGAAGGATACCTGGTAATTGGATTTGGTGTAATTACAATGTCTTGTCTTGTTTGGAACTTGGAAAGACATGTAATTACTTGATCAACAGGTAATTGGTGTAATTGGCAGGAGGTAATTACACTCTACAATTCACAGGCAGACGCTGTGAATTGCTGGTAATTACATGGTGTAATTACCACCTGATTACTTTTTAATTTCTTTTTTTAATTTCTATTTTTATTTTTTTGTTTTAATTTTTTTTACTTCTATTATTTTAAGTTCTTTTTTATTTTTATTATTCTAAAATTTGTAAAATTTTATTTTATATTTTATATTATTATATTTCATTTTCTTCTTGTTCTCAACCTTACTTTACATGATTATATGTAATTTTCTCGTATTATCTATTTCTTTATGCCATGCTTATTTTCTCATTAGCATAATTTTATTAGTATTCTATTTTTTAAATTAAAATAGAATTTATTGTTAAGTAAGGTTATAGACTTACGTTTTCTTTATTAAGAAAAAATAAAAATAAATCATATTTATTGCTATGTTGAAATTTATTATAAGAGTATTATGTTAAATTTTTTGTTTTGAATTTATAACTTATGTTATATTTTCAGTTTCATTTGTTTTAGTAATATTGAATTTACATTGCACGTCATTTTTTAATTAGACTTGATAGATTATATTTTTGTCAAACATTTAATAATTTATGACATTTTATTTATATATTATTCTTTTTATCAAACATGCATTTTATGATATTCGTAGAAACTTCATACTTTTAGTTGTTACGATCAATTCAATTGAAATATATTAATTTGAAAAAATATAAATCAATTATTTTTTAATTTATTATAATTTTATAATTGCAATTGTGCATCCAAACAGAACATGTGTAATTACACTGTGACATCCAAACAGGTCAGTGTAATTACTAGACTGGTAATTACTATCCTAATAATTACACCAATTCCAATTACCAAGTGACTTTCCAAACAGACCCTAAGTGAATTATATAGCGGAATTAACTTTTAATTGCTAGTAATTAGATATTTTTTCCTGACAAATGCCTAAATGCCGGTAATAGTCGAATGTAAGGAGCATTTTAGCGGCAATTTGTTTATTGCCTCTAAACAAATGTCCCTAAAAGTTGACTTTGTGGTAGTGATACTGTTTCTCAATTTATTTGAAGCATATAATTGCTTCTTTTTTTCTCTATGTTTACATTACAAAAAATACATATAAAACGATAAAAACAGAAAAAGAAATAAACTCCAAAGCATTTGATTGCGTCTTTTTTCGACAATGCGGCTGGACTACTGCGTCCACCCATCCACACACGCTATGGTATTCAACTTTCTAAAAAAACAAAAACCAAATTGGGTTTGACTGGTATTTTAGTTTTCTTTTGTTAAAAATGTTTGATTTGTAAAAATCAAGAAACTGCTCATATAAAAAGGAATAATGATTCTCTAAAAATTATTTTTTAATAGGTGTGAAAAAAAAGAAGGGATAACTAATATGAGAGGTTCTTTGCCCTCTTATTAGTGATAATTAATTTGTTCCATATATATTTAAAGAGGGTGAAAATGACTTTAATTTTGCTTTAAAAATCAAACTCCACTTTCAATAGCTTAACTTTGAACAATAATTAAACTCTCCATTTATTTTATGTATAGTTCATTTTACCCTTGTTATATCACATATATGTAATATCTCTTTATATTATATATAATTTATTTTTTAACCTAGGTATTGATAACTTTTCTTTAAGTTAATTAACATTATAAGTAGAATAAAATTTTAAAAAATTTGTCACAAAATTTAATATTATTCTTGTGACCGTTCTTTCAATATAATATGCATTAAACGTATGTATATGCATGTATCCGTATATTTTTTTGTCCCTTCTTGATATGACATCCCTTAAAAAAATTAGTTAGAGATGTATTTTACAAAGTCATAATACATAAATATCTCCTTTAACTTGGCCTCATTTCACATTTATATTTTCCAACTTTGAATGTGCACAAATTGATCCATCTTTAAAGCTTGCTTTTCCTTCCAAGTCATGTTGGAATTAGTAAAACAAACAAGGGAAAAGAGTCTGATATACCCCTCAACTTTGTCATTTAGAACTGATATACTTCTCGTTATGAAAGTGGCTCATATATACCCCTACTTATATACAAATCGCTCACATGTACCCTTTTCCTCTAACGGAGATGAAAAAATTAAATTTTAGTTTAATTTTTTTATTATTTTAAAATATATATATATAATTCCGAGTATATTTAATCCTCCTCAAACATATTATTTTTTTACTTTTTTTTGTTTCAATGACTAATTTAGATTTACTATTTTGATGGTCAAATTTATTTTTGTTTTACTAATATTCTTGTAAAACTTATTATAGATGATCAAATTTTTTTCTTCAAATACAAAAATTAAATTACAATATAGACAAAAAAATAGTTTTAAATTATAATATAGCCACAAAAAATAGTTTTAAATTTTTTTATTTACACTAAGGAATGAAAGAAAAAAATAAAATAAGAATAAGAAACTCAAATAATGATAATCAAAGAAGTCAAAAAATAATTTATGTATGAAAAAGATTAAAATATACCTTGAACTTTGCTAGAAGAATCATATATACCCCTAAATGATTTTATTTTTTTTTAAAAGTAAAAAATATAAATTTACAACTAATTTTTCACTTCCGTTAAATGAAGGGTATATGTGAGCTCGTTTTGTAACGGTAGGAGTATATGTGAGCCGTTTGTATAACGGTAAGGGTATATATGAGTCACTTTCATAACGAGAGGCATATTAGCTCCAAATGGCAAAGTTGAAGGATATATCATGCCCTTTTTCCCAACAAACAAAAATGAAGTGATGCTGACTCAACTAGCTAGCTTTCATTTCCACCATCCATTTTCTTCTGTAGTTAAGATGGAGTTAAAAAGATGGAACTAGTTGGTTGAGTACTTGAATTTTAAATGTTCGATTCATCGCTTTATAATCCGCTCCCTTATTTCTTTTCTTTCCCTACTCATAATTTTTATTTTAAAAAAAAAAAAAAGTTGGGATTTGAAATTATGAGTTCTATATTTTAGAAAACGCAGCTTATTGAATTCTTTATAAATAATTTATTCATATTAAATAACTTTTTAAGCACAAAAACATAATATAAATCAAAGCTAGTGAGTTGTTAAACCCGCAAACGAAGTTGTGCTTTGTATTAGGGGTGTACAAAACCGAATCAAACCGCAAATCGAGTCAAATCGGAAAAAAAACTCGACTAGTGGTTTGGTTTGACTTGGTTTGATATTGGAAAAAAAAACCCGACTATATTTGGGTTGGTTTGGTTTTAACTAAAAAAAAACAACCCAAGACCAAACAAACCCGACATTATATATGTAATTTTAAAATTTTATTTTATACATAAAAATATTTACTTTGATATAATTTTAAAATATTTCTTATACTATTTCATAGTTTTCATCTTTTAATATATTATTTCAAGTTTAAAACTTAGAATTCGGAATGGTCCAATAAAGATTATAGTTCATAGATGTTGATAATTATAATAAAACTTAAATCAAAATCAAATTAATACTAATGCAAAAAGAAAATTTAGTAATGTAACTAATACTTATTAAACTTATTTTAGCATGATTTAGTACTTTTAAATTATGATCATTTTCATTATGACTTTGCAATATTTATTTTATATGATGATTTAATTATTATTTTTTATTGAATATTTTGGTGTCATCCGTACTCATTTCATATTTTGTGTTATTTTCTTAAGAAACACCTTAGATAATTGTATTTTGGTTGGACTAAAGAAATATTTGGAGCACAAGTTAATTATATGTTTGTATGCAAACTTTACCGAAAAAATCCAAAAATCTGAAGAAAAATAATCCGAGGTTTATTAGTTTGGTTTGATTTATAAATTTAAAAATTCGACACAATGGTTTGGTATTTGAAAAACCCAAAAAAATCCAAATTTTATTAGTTTGATTTGGTTTATAAATTAAAAAATTTTACACTTATAATTTGGTTTGATATTTGAAAAACCCGAACCAACCCGATTATGTTCACCATACTTTGTATAGTTCCTATATAAGCATTCCCTTAGGTAGCTAGCAAATTAGACTGCTAGAAAATAAAGTAGAGTCATATTGGCGATGAGGAATATTAAGTTTTTGTTGTTAGTGTTTTTTCTAATAGTAAATGTGGCGAATGGTTGTTGGGAGGAAGAGAGAAGTGCTCTCTTGGAGCTTCAGGCAAACATAATGAGTTCCAATGGCGAATTGTGGGCTGATTGGGAAGGTTATAATGCCAATGGATTTATAGATTGTTGTTTTTGGGGAAGTGTAAAATGCAGCTTAGAAACAGGTCGAGTTATCAAACTCGATCTTGCAGCAAGGCATGGATCAGGGGATGATTGGAGATTTAATGCCTCTCTCTTTCTTCCATTCAATTTCTTTTATTGTCTTACAGAAATATTATAGGGTGGACAAAAAATGAAGGTCTAATCGATCTTGTATGGAATATATTCATGACTCTTGAAAATGAAACTATAAATTACTAACATGTGTTTTTTGGTCTAATTTTGTCATCCAGGTTTCAGTAAACTAAAGCAGCTTCCCAACCTGAAAGTAGTCGATTTGCAATATAATCCAATCCATCCTAAAGTTTTACTATCATCTTTATGTTCGATTTCATCACTTGAGGTTCTAAAACTTGGTGTACATGTTGATACCTCATTCAGCATACCGACATATAATAGCAGTATATCCTCCAACATAAACTCTACATATGTAACTGTGGCCATTTTTGCAATATAATAGTTGTAATTTTTGGATGAAGGCATGATGAGTAAGAAATGTGGAGGGCTAACCAATTTAAGACAACTCAAGTTTAGAGGTTATGGAATCAGTGACATCAATATCCTTTCTGCATTGGGTAAGCTCTCCTTTCCACAAGAAAAAACAATTAACAAAATAACACTAAACCTAAGTACAATTTATTTTCATAAATCAAATGCAGGTGTTGGTGGAAATAGTGGACTGAGGAATTTAGAGAAACTCAATTTGAATAATAATAACTTCAATTCCACCATCTTTAGAATTTTCCTTCTCTCAAGCATCTGAATCTCACCGCGAACAAAATAAATGGAAATATCGAAATGAATGGCTTGTTATGGCTCTTCCCATCCAAGTCTTACCCGCTAACCATATTTTGCTCCACTAAGATATTAATGATGCTTCTAAATAAAGTTTGATTTTTTTTTCTTCTTATTTTTGTGTGCTTACTATTTATTTTTTATTTACCTGTGTAGAAATAATTGCTTTGAGCAACTTGAAACATCTAAATCTCTGGAATAGCAATATAGAGAGCTTTGTGACTACCAAAGGTACACGAAGCAATGCAGTTGCTCTATGAAAATGCAAATTTGATCAGATAAAGATTAATAGTAATGAAATGTGAACTAGGATTACACATCTTTACAAACTTACGTAATAAGATCGATCCATTCATTCTTATGTAAAAACATATATGATTAATTTAACAGGCAGCAAGAGAATGAGCTATCTGCAAAATTTACAATTGGGAAGTCTTAACTCCAACTCGAGCAGAGTCATACAATCCTTAAAATCATTCTCATCTCTTAAGTCACTTTCTTATGAAGATAGTGATCTCACTTCTCCGACCATAATTTATGGTAAGCTCAAAATCAAATTTTATCTAATTTACTTCTATCGCCACTTTTTCTTTTGGAATATGAAAAATTGTTGTTTTATTTTTATTTTTATTCTATCGTATAAGCATTAAGAAATCTGAGCACGCTGGAATACCTATACTTGGAGGGATCTTCCTTAAATGACAACTTTCTGGCAAACATTGGACAAATGACTTCTCTTAAAGTATTGAATATGCCTGGTGGTGGAAATAATGGCACCCTCCCTAATCAAGGTACCCTATTTTTCTATTTTTGTCCTAATGCCAGCATTTTCATGAATATAGGGTGTGTTTGGCACTGAGAGAAAATTGTACTAGAAAAACAAGTTCCTTAAAAATGAGAAAAATAACTCTGCATATGACATTCCCCATTGAATATAGTCATATCGGAATCCTCCAAGACACCTCATCTTCACCTCACCCCATAGTCCTATCCCACCACCCCACTCCTCACCTCCCATATACTATATTTTGTTTAAGCACCGAACACAAAAAAATAAGTTACAAAACTCACCTATTTTTCTAGAAAACATTTTCCTTCATGTCAAATACACTCATGCACATAAGAAAAGAGTAAAATAAGATTTGGCTTATTATTGAAATTTGTTTTAGTTAAATGTGTCTTGAACTTTTTTTTAAAACAAAAATATATATATATATAGGTTGGTGTGAACTCAAACAAATTGAAGAGCTGGATTTCTTAGACAATAATTATGGGGGAACACTGCCTTCGTGTCTTGAAAACTTGACATCACTTCGATGGTTGTGTTTGGCTGGGAATAACTTAGGCGGAAATATAGCATCACATTCTATTTGGAGGAGACTCACATCACTTGAGTACCTGCATATTGCAGATAACCAATTTGAAGTTCCTCTGTCATTCAGCCAATTTTCCAACCATACAAAATTGATCTACTTGAATGTTGGTTCTAATACAATAATTACAGATACCGAATTCCAAAATTGGATCCCAAATTTCCAGCTAGAGTTTTTTGCTATCCGAAGATGTATAAACCTTCAAAAATTGCCTTCTTTCCTTCACTACCAATATGACTTGAGGATTCTTGCTATTGAAGGAAATCAATTGTCAGGGATCTTTCCAACATGGTTGTTAGAAAATAACACCAAACTTGCAGCGATTTATAGTAGAGATAATGCTTTCAACGGACCATTCAAGTTGCCATCGAGTCGTCACCTCCATCTTCAGACGATTGATGTTTCTAATAACAAAATAAATGGGCATATTCCAGAAAATATGAATTCAGCATTCCCAAAGCTTACTTTTTTGAACATGTCACAAAATTATCTTGAAGGTCCTATACCTTCCAAGATTAGCGGCATTCATTTAAAAATTCTAGACTCATCTCTCAATTTCTTGTCTGGAGAAGTTCCTGGTGATCTGGCAATTGGTTCTCCACAATTGTTCTACCTTAGGTTGTCAAACAACAAACTTAAAGGAAAAATATTTTCGGACGAGTTCAGACCACATATATTATCCTTTTTGTATTTGAATGATAATAACTTTGAAGGTGCACTACCTAGTAACGTTTTTCTCAGCTCCCTTATTACACTGGACGCTAGCAGGAATAATTTCTCCGGAGAAATTCCAGGATGCATTAGGGATAACAGAAGATTGTTACAGCTTGAATTGTCCAAAAATCATCTCCAAGGTTTGATTCCAGTTGAGATTTGCAATTTGAAGATTATTAATGTCTTAGCTATATCCGAAAACAGGCTTTCAGGATTGATACCTTCTTGTGTGAGTTCTTTACCTCTCAAACACATCCATCTAGAGAAAAATCAATTGGGTGGTGGACTGGAACATGTACTTTTCAATTTCTCTTCACTGATAACTTTGGATCTTCGCAACAACAATTTTTCAGGAAATATCCCACACACCATAGGCTCACTTAATACTCTCAACTACCTTCTCCTTAGCAATAACAAATTTGAAGGGGAGATTCCAACTCAGATTTGTATGTTGAACAAGTTATCTATTGTGGATTTATCTTTCAATAAGATTTATGGTCCACTCCCTCCTTGTTTGGGTTACTTAACACAGACCAAAAAGGATGCAGAGATAAGTTGGACTTATTATGCTGAGACTTCTAGGGGTTCATGGTTAAATTTTGTGGTCTGGATGCGTTCGAAAAGGCATTACCACGATAGTCATGGAATTCGAAGAGACATGTTTGATGGATGTGGAAACTCAGGTCCAGTTTTCAACGAAAAGAAACTCATACACTTATAAGGGAAGAAATCTAAAATATATGTCGGGTATTGATCTCTCAAGTAATAGATTAACTGGTGAAATTCCTGTTGAGTTAGGGAACATGAGCAATATACATGCATTGAATCTATCGCACAACCATCTCATCGGAAGAATACCAAATACCTTCTCCAATCTACAGGAAATCGAGAGTTTAGACCTTTCCTGCAACAGATTGAATGGGAGCATTCCTGTTGGTCTACTTGAGCTAAATTCGTTGGCAGTATTCAGTGTTGCATACAACAACTTATCGGGTGCAGTGCCTGATTTTAAAGCTCAATTTGGAACTTTCAACAAAAGCAGCTACGAGGGAAATCCTTTTCTTTGCGGTTATCCATTAGACAACAAGTGTGGGATGAGTCCTAACCTGTCAAATACCTCCAAGATTAATGGAGACGAGGAATCATCAGAATTGTGTCTCATTGGAGAAAAGCATGGTTTAGGATGATAGAGGCATTGATGTTTTGTTGTTACTATTTTGTGTTGGACAACATTGTTACACCCATCAAGAGTAGATGGTGCAGGAATGTTGGTTAATTAGGTAGTTGTTTTAAATTTTGTTGTATGTTTATCACTATTATTATGTTGTCATTCTCTTCTATCAATATTTATAAACAATATATCTCTTGCATTTTCTTTTGCTCATCCTCTTTTGATCTGAAAATTGAATTAAAATGTTGTGGGGCTAGTTCCATTTTCATACGTGTGTGTTGGAGTTGTAGTTTAATACCCCCATGTACCCCTGCATACCAAGCATTCACTAATGGATTTGAGGACAACTCAGCTAATTGGGCTTCAAAAAGAACTTTTCTTGATCAAGTTGAAGGTTTCACAACTTGTTAATACTATTAATTAGGAATTAAAATGACACTTAAAACTTACATTGTTTGGTCCAAATTGATTGAGAGATAGAAAGCCTTAGTTCATCACCCAACTCCATTTTCTCTCTTCCTGCTGTCAGGAATTCCTACCTATGCTCGATCGTATGGCATCTCGCTCAACGCTACACTTGCAGCAGACTACCCCTCCAACTTACACCATAAAGGTCATTCCAAGCTGCTATAGGGGCCGGGGATGAACAAGAAATGGCCTCGATTAATTAAACTGGTGCTCTATCCTGCAATTTTTTGATGATAACATTTTAAGCATACATAATTATGTTGTTGTAAACAATTGTATTGCTTGAGAAGTCTAGTGAAATTAGATTGAAAAGACTGCAACATACCGAAGACTCATTCACTGTAAAACTCCTCTCCGATGGGTCGCAATCAATTTCTGAAATTAGGTACATGCTTGGAATTCTGATCACACTTTGGCCTAGTATTAGCGAAAAAATTTATATCTCGAGATCCAACAGTCCAAATTATGAATCGTTAACCAATAGAACAGAGGAACACGTGATGGTTAAAATCAAGTGAAAATGTTCAAATATGTCATCAAACTTTCAGAAAAAACTTATTTATATCCTTTTTTTAAAGTTTGGCTCATCTATGTCATTGTGGTTAAAGAAAAGACTCATGTATGCCTTTTTTTAACTTCGATTTTGCAAAACACTTTGACTTAAGCCATACTTTTTATTTTTTTGACTTAAAAATCATTTCAGTTTGACTTTTTATTTTTGACTACTTTTTTTAAGCCAATCCAAACGGGCTTTTACTGTCCTTAAGGAGACAGTCATAGACCAAAACAAAATAACCTAAAACGATACAATGCTAAATGTATTGTCAACCTCTTCCATAGGAATCCAAAAAACAATATAGTACAATCCTCCAAATCAAATACTGCATTTATATTGGCCATTTTAACAAATACTTTAGAAGAATACATTGAACCAAGACTAACTTAGAATTGCATTACCAGAATATAGGCATCACTCAGTTGGTATCTGCTATATACAAATTGCAGTAATAAACGACGATTCCAAACAACATACCCAGTGAAATCCCACTGTGGACATATTCGTGAAAATTCCCTTCCCTTTCATTTATCTTTCGTTTCCTTTATATATATATATATATATATGTGTGTGTGTGTGTGTGTGTGTGTGTGAATTTACAACATTTGCAGCATGAATCGGTCTCTCACCAGGAATAATTTACCTTTGTTGCACCAAGAGTCACAGCAACCAAAGCAAGTGTAGCCTGATGAGAGAACAAAATTAACATAGTCAAAGCGAACGACATAAGGCGGAATAACTAAGATATGCAAGAATAACACAGAGCACCATAAGTGTGTGAAAATGCTGGTACCATGTTTTCCTTTGGTGTTCTGGCAACAGCAGATAATTAGATATCAAAAGGTCCGTAACTGAAACTATTCAACCCCTTCAGCACCAACGAGCCAACAACAGATACTCAACTTTAAAGGAACATATTTGTTGTTCAAATTTTGCTAAAAAATACCAACGCTTGGTCCTATTTTAACGATTAAAAGGTTTACTACAAAGATGTTATACTCACGAAAGAAGAGCAATTTCTTAACAATATTTTCTTTATATTCGCAAATCACAAGTCTGTCTAACAATATTTTCTTAACGATTCTGGAGAAGTCACACCTCAAGGTTTATGAGGATATAAACACATGTCCAGAAGTTAAAGCCTTCAGTGCATAACTCCTCCAGTTCTTGATCCTCCTCTATTCAAGATTATTAACTTATGCTACAAGCAAATTGATAAAAAAATTCTACAGAGAGCCACCCAAACAGCATCTATGCTCAAACTTCTATGTGCTTATGAAAATCACTTGACTCACTCTACAGGTTTACAATTGGAAAGGCAGTAATATGTTACACATCTACAATATATGGGAAACCTATAATGTGAGGAGCTCTAGAGTAATTGAACATGTGGTGCACATATCTATACTGTTACAAGAAGTATACAATTTAGGAACTAGACTAATTTCAATACCACTCATCCCAAATTCTCCCCAAAGAAGAAGGAGAGGTGTCTATAGTTTCCTTCCCAAACCATCTATCACATCCCTCCCAAAGGATAAGGTCTATGTACTGCCTCATATGTATTTCTACTTTCTTCTACTCAGCCAACAAACTTCTGAATTCTTATGATATGTGAATTTAAGAAGACAGTCAAACGAGAAATATGTAGCTAGAAACTCAGTCTAGAAAGGCCAAGCTTCATCTATTATAGTCTGCAAGTTTTACTGCAACATGCAAGTCCACTTGTTAGAATTTCCTCTCCTAGTTCCTTATCAGAAGACATCCTTTCACAATGCTCAACAATATGATGTGACAATAAATCAAGGGACTTCCTACATTTTTCCACTGAGACAACTTCAACAAGCTAGTCCCATGCCCAGGTTAGAAGGCAAGACTGTTGAGCGTTGACTACACTAAACTTGCAACAGGCAGTAACTTGTTAGAATTGCCTGTCCACAAAGTTGAACAACATGATGCAGGCATCAATAAAAAGACTTAAATCATCTTTCATGATACTTGCTTGAAAGTGAAAACAGCAGGAAGGTAAATCCATAGACAGACAACATTAACTTCTAATTAGATTTCCCTCTCTACTCTATACTATGAAGCACAATGGTCAGCACACTGCTTCATTGTACTGCCTCACCAGTTTTCACTTTCTCAGCCTACCAAGTTTCTAGCGCAAAGATGGAGAACTGAAAAGTTACATTGTGCAGAGGTAAACCAGTATTAAAATGCCTAGTTAACTTAGTATCACTCAGTAATGCCAGTGCATACAAATACAACCATACATGTTATACAGTTAAAAATGTCATCTCTCTATTCCCTCAAGTGTCAGGCCAATATAGGTTAACCTCAGAAAAAGAGAGAAAATGCACGTGAAACCCCAGATTGCACAAATAAAGCCATTATACAAAAAGCATATGCAATAAATATTTTTAATGTAGCCATTTAAAAGAAAAGAATGAATTGACATTGCCATTTTCAAGAAAATAAATGTACTGATACCTGATCAAAAATAAAATAAAATAAATAAATGAATTGATAATGCAAGAGATGAATAAACTTACTGCTAAGGTGCATGCAATAAATCCAGGTTTTTCTCTATAATCGAGCCGAGCACACAAAAGAAGAAAAGCTCCAATGTACCAGGGAATGGCACCAAGAAAGAAACCAATAATGAACCTAGCAAAAAAAAGTCAAAAGAGCATTAGAATACAAATCATGGTTGAAATATTTGGTTGAGCTTTCCCCGAATCATAAGATCTAGTTTATAATGATCTGGTCCATCAATGTCAGGATCCAGTAAATCCATTAGAAAATTTCACACTAGGTTCTATGTTTCTAAGTTGTTACCCCTGTGCGCATTTACTTTTTTGTTGCCCAAAAATCTAACATCTGACCTTGTTTTTTCTCTTAGCTAAAATTTAGTGACTGAGTTTGGTGAGCGAAGAATTCCTAAGCAAAAATAATAAGTCAGTGAAGGTTATTACATCACTTAGTTCCTCAGACAAACAAATGAGAAAAGGAGGCAAAGAAAGGCAAATATAGGAACTTACAAGAACCAGCCAATTCCCATACCACAGCAAGGAAGCCGATGCTCCCTTATGGGTCTACCTTCGGCAACAACATAACCTAAAATCAGAGCGAAGCCAAAATGAGAATATGGTATATAAAAGTCTAAACATTAGTCTTTTGAATAGCCAAGGATCCCCTTTGAAGATAAACTACACAAAGCACCAAAAACAATGAAAATCATCTCATAGTTCTCCACTTTTGATTGAAAGTAAATACAGGTTAGTATTCAAAACTGAGAAGTATCCTCCTGTTTATATGCCTTACTTTTGCAAATCAAGAAAGAAAAAACTACCTATTTTTATACTTCTAATGCAATTCGGACTTCAATAAAGCAGGAAGTATCAGACACATAGTTAATGTCTGATTGATCAATGATCAATCTCTATATACTCTTGATACCTAGTTAAAGTCTCATTGACAAAATTATCTCCGTAAATTTGATGCCTAGTTAAGCCTCATTGACTAAATTCTCTCCATAATTTTTTTTGATGACAAGGGAATCCGCAGTTGCTACCCTTTGGGTGCGCACAGGGTGAACCCCTCTCTTGTGTAATAGCTCGCAAACCACACAGGAGAGGTAAACCACATTAGCCCCGTGCAACAAATTCAACCCAGAAGGCCAACCCCCTGTTGTCGCAGGCAAGGGGTTTCGAATTTGAGACCTGCATTGTGGAAATCCCAAACCAAATCATCTAAGCCACCCCGAAGGATATAATTCTCTCAACAATTTTGATGCCTTAGTTAAAGGGCATTATCAAAATTCTCGCCATATTTACTGCAAAACAACTTTATCTACACAGATACATAAACAAAATATATTTGACTAGTTTCATACAGAAACAAATATGAGGTCTAAATCAGACAAATAAGAGAGATTCACTCCTCTTCCACTTTAAGTCCACATCAAACTGATTAACATCAATATTTCACAGGTAATTTCAGAAGGAAATATTCCAACCACCAAGCTAAAGCAATCACATCAAATTGCCAGGTATTGCCGTATGAACATCGATAGTCAGTCAACACGAATACCAGGGGAGCTGATAAAAGCAATGACCTCCTTTTCTCAGTTTCTTTTTGCATATAGCATGAAAATCGTTATCATAAATTTCAGACGCACACAGCTCAAGCCCAGTAGAAAAGAAGACTTGAAACTAAAACTTTGGATGGTCGATGGAAATCAGAATGTTAATACAACAAAGGGGTTTAGACTACACCATCTGCACTAATCTTTTCTTAGGTGACTTGCCTCCTTAGCCTATGACACAAAAGGGTTGTTTGATTTGCAGGAATTGTAATGCAAGAATTATTTATGCAGTGAATAACAATGAAGGGACTATTTTTGGATAAAGTAATAATTTTATTAAATTCAAGCAAATGAACATGCTCATATACCAGAAAGTAGAAAATCTACAAAAAGATGTGATTTTCCATGAACAACACCCAACACACACCAATCCTTTGGGACTGTTATATGCTAAAAAAATATATAATGATTGTTATCCAATGAATAACAAAACAAAGAATATTTTGTAGGAATTACCTACTTCAAAGGCATTTTTTTGTTGTTAAATACTTGCATCGCAAAATTATGTATAGAATCCTGCATGCTTAATGCAGGTATAATTTAATACCGCTAACCAAACGCTGCATAAAGTTATGCCGGAGTTCCATTTTATATGGACAGCCAACTGAGCAGTATTTAATCTTACCTATCATACCAAAATTATGGTCAATAAAATTTGCATTAAGAATCAAAAGAGATGGTGGAAGCTAATACCATCATGTGTATGGTGGTCAGTCTGGAAAGAAAGAAATGGAAGATGTTTTGAAGATAGATCCAATTCCATCCACAAAGTTAAATGGAATTGTATAGTATCTCTACTTTTTTGGTGTAAACAGCCTGCGATGGCTTCACTTACACCATTCCGGTGTGGTGTGAAGCTCCAGTCACAGTAAGATTATCAGAGGAGAGGAGAGAGGAGAAAGGCAAATACCCAGTGGTCAATACCCAGGATCAGCTTTTGCAGAAGATAAAGGAGGCACAACCTGCGAAAAAGGTGGATGGGCACGTGGGGACTTCAAGTGAGGGGTCCCGCATGCAAGTGGGCCTGAGATTTAAAGGAGGGGAAAATAATGTGTATAGCAGGAAAAAGCTAGGTCAAAAGGAATTTTTGGGCCCAAAGACTTTGGGCCAAAATTTTTTGGACCCAATTGTTGTGGAAAATTCTAGAGCCCAAACATCGATTACCTATCCTGTAGATATAATAAATATCGAGATATTAGCAAACAAAGCAAAGGAAAACAAATTTCAACGCCAGATCACGCAATGGAGTAGAGACCGAGGGGAACTGGAAGTCGCGAGACAAAGTGTGGAGATGGCAGTCACGGATAGAGAAGAATTGGGGGAGAAGAGTATAACGGTAATGTTTCAACCACTGGAGGAGGAGAATTTAGACGGAGATACAGAGGAAGCTATTCCATTGGGCATCCAATTTCCAGAAGAAGACATGAGCACTTCGGACTGGATACAACAAAATATAACCAAACTAAGCTCAGAATTCGGGGTTAATTTCAAAGGGTGTGAGGAAAAGGCGAAGGAGTTGTTGATGAAGATCGATAGCAATAAACAAGGAAACAGGGGGGAACAGAGTAAACAAACAACAGGCAAGAGGAAAGGGTTATTAGAACTAAAAAGGCTGCAACTGGATTCTAAGTTCTATAGCAATGGTACTAGAAGTAAAGGGGGGGTTTTGGCCATTATGGATCAATGAATTTAAACATTGTGTCATGGAATGTGAGGGGGCTGAATTGTGGGAGGAAAAGGAGTATTATCAGGAACATGATAAGAACTTGGAAAGCAGATGTGGTATGTTTTCAAGAGACAAAAATGGAGGGGGAGATTGCTAATAAAGTTAAGGAAATCTGGGGTAGTAGGTGGGCAGATTACGTGCAACTCGAAGCTAGTGGGACGAGGGGAGGCATAGTAATTATGTGGGATAAAAGAAGATGGGATGGGGAAGTGAATAGTGTGGGTGCATTTTCAGTTTCTGTTTGTTTCTCTGGGAAGAATCTGGATTTTAAATGGCATCTACCAGGTGTCTACGCCCCGAATGATAGAGCAGAAAGGGAAGAAACTTGGTGGGAGCTAGGGGCAGCAAGAGGTCTATTCAATTCACGGGCCCTTGGGTCCTATGTGGGGATTTCAACACTGTGAGGTATCCTTCTGAGAATCTTCCCTGTAACAGAATCAGCAGGGCGACAGAGTTATCAGAGTTCATTGAAGACATGGAATTAATGGACTTAGATTTAGCAGGGGGAGAGTTCACTTGGAGAAGAGGGGACAGACACTCCACAGCAGCAAGGCTAGACAGGTTTCTGATCTCAGAAGAATGGGACTCAAATTTCAGGAACATTAAACAATCTGTCTTACAGAGAATGATCTCAGATCACTCCCCATTAATGCTACAATGTGGAGAATGGGGGACAACCAAATCATATTTCAAGTTCGAAAATTGGTGGTTGACTACTGATGGATTTAATGATAGAGTTAAGACCTGGTGGGAGTCTTTTCGCTTCCATGGAAAACCAGACTTTGTACTGGTAGCGAAGCTAAGGGCCTTGAAAGCTAAGTTGAAAGAGTGGAGCAAGACCAGGGAAGGCAATCTGAGTCAACAGAAGCAATTGGTACTAAACCAATTAGCAGAACTTGAAATGATACAGGAC